AAAATGAAAACAAAATTAATTTGGTAGAGCAAGAGGTTGAGAAGCTCAAGGTGAGTAATTTTTTTGAAGAGAAAGAAGAATAAAAAGTACTCCCAGACCTCAAATTACATTATAAAGCAATAATAGCAAAATTATTTGGTACTGGTTAAAAATTACAAAAGTAGATCAATAGGACAGACTAGATGGGCAAGAATAAAAACAATAAAATTCAACAACTTTATCTTCAATAAACCTGAGAACATAAACTGTTTGGGAATAAAATCCCTATTTAGCAAATGCTTCTGGGGAAACTAGGAAGCTTTTGGGGTTTAGACCAGCCTTTATACCATATACACTAAACAAACTCAAAAAAGATACATGATCTGAATACTAAAGAACAATATAGAAAATAATGAGATCCAGTACCTTTTATGACTATACCTGGAGAAGAATATTTTAAAATTTGTATTGATAGCTTTTGCTTTTTTATCACCTACATTTCCCAATGTAATTTCCCCTCCTCTTCTCAAACATTCACCCCTTGTAACAAAAAAAGAGACAGAAAAAAAATAGTTCAGTAAAACAAATGGACATAACAGCTAAGTCTGACAAGTATTCCACACACATAATACTTTCCCCACCGCCCCCTGCAAATAAGGGAGAGGTAGAGAGGCATATTCTTATTTTTCCTTTTTGGGACCAAACTTGGTCAATATGGTTGCACAACAGTAATTTTTTATTATTATGTCACTATTATTCTTTCCACTTATGTTATTATAGTCAGAGTTATGGGGAGAAATTCTAAACCAAAAAAAAAAAAGGATAGAGGAGATCACAAAAGAGAAAATAAATAATTTTGATTATGTGAATTGAAAAACTTTTAAACGAAGAAAATCAATGAAGTTAGATAGAAAGAGAAATTGTCAACTGGAGGAAAAATAGTTTTGCATTTCTGACAGGGCTTAGATATCCAGAATATAAAATAAATTAGCACAAAAATGTGACTAAGAGTCATTCCCAATGGATAAGTGGTCAAAGAATATGACCACTTTTCAAAAGAAGATTTTCAAACTATGAAATTTGCTTCAAATCACTAATAATAAGTGAAATACAAGTCAAAACAACTCTGAGGTTTCCCTTGAGACATATAGATGGTGCAATAGATAGAGCATCAGACCTGGAGTCAGAAAGACTTGAGTTCAGATCTGGCTTCTGACATTGTGTGACCCTGGGCAAATCACTTAACTTATGTTTGCCTCAGTTTTCTCAACCGTAAAATGGGAATGATAATAATAGCACCCACCTCTCAGAGTTGTTGTGAGGAACAAATGAGATAGTACTTGTAAATCACTTAGCACAGTGCCTGGCACACAGTAGGTAGTTTAATGTCAGCAGAGCTGTTGATCTCCAGTGAGATTTGCTCTTGACCCTATATTGTTTTTAACATTTTTATCAGTGCCTTGGATAAAGGTGTATAGATGGAGTGCTTATCAAAGCTATCACAAAGTTAAGAGGGATAACTGGCACATTGGATAAGAGTAAGGGTCTCCAAAAAAATATCAACAAGTGTTTGAGCTGAATCTAATAAGAAGAATTCAGTAGAAATAAGTGTGGTCTTATGCTTGTGTGCATTAAAACCAACTTAACAAGTCCAAGATGGGGAAGGCATAGTTAGACAGCAGTTTGTCTGGAAAAGATTTGGGGGATTTAGTGGACTGCAAACTCAGTCTGAGTCAGCAATGTAATATGGCAGCCAAAAAAACCTAATGTGATTCTGGACCTTATTTAGAGAGACATCCCACTCCCAGGAATGAAGAGGTAGGCGATCGTCCCTTTATGCTTTGTCCTAGTAAGAGCACAGCTAGGGTATGGTATTTCAATTCTGGATTCCACGGGGTAATAAGGGCATTGCTAAGTTGGAGCACATTCAAGATGGTGAAGGGACCTAAGTCCTTATCACATAAGGATTTTTGTTGTTGTTGTTGAGTGATTTCAGTTGTGTCTGGCTCTCTGTGACCCCATTTGGAGTTTCCTTGGCAGAGATTTTGGAGTCATTTGCCATTTCCTTCTTCAGCTCATTTTACCGATGAGGAAACTGAGGCCAACAGAGCTAAGTGACTTGCTCAGGGTCACACAGCTAGTAAGTGTCTGAGGCCAGATTTGACCTCAAGTCCTCCTGACTCCAGGGCTGGTGGTCTAACCACTCTACCTCCTTGTTGCCCATGAGGGCTAGTTAAAAGAACTGGGCATATTTGACCTGGAAAAGACAAATAGCATGTGGAAGGTATGCCTTCCCTCCTCTTCCCTCCCTCCATAGCTAGTTAACTAGATATAGTAATATGTGTGTACGTGCACATATATATTTTAAGCTTTTACATAGGTGTTGTAAGATATTGCAAGATATTAGAAGAAAGTGCAAGAACAAAAGCACAAACGTTACTTCCCCACCCACGCCCCCCAACAGCTTGAGCCACATTCTCCCAGGTTACTTTCGTCTTTAGGCAGTTTCTATAAAACATTTCATGCAAGCTGTTTTGGGGTTTGAGTTAAAGAAGGCCTGTTATGTGGCAGAGGGCACAGACTTATTCTGCTTATCTCCAGGAAGAAGAATCAGGAGCAACAGATGGAAATGACAAAAATACAGACATAGTATGCTGTCCAGAAAAACTTCCTAACAGAGACATCCAAAAATAAAAAGGGTTACCTCAAGAGGTAGTGGGTTCTGCCTTCTTGGAGGTCTGCAAGGCAATAACCACTTGTTAAGCACTTACTGTGTGCTATGTGCCAAGCCCTGTGCTAAATGCTGGGGATACAAATACAAGTAAAAAGACAACCCCTGCCCTCAAGGAGCTTACAACTGGGAAAGACAACACACAAAAAAGAGTTGAAAAGAGGGTAGAGTAGATAGATACCTTCCCACAAGAGTTTTGTCTTGGGAGTCCAGAAAGTCAGAATCAGAGCCGAGAGGGGAATGAAGTTTGGCTGTCCTCGGCCTCTCCCCAAAATGGAGGAATTTACTAATGAGAGAGGGGGGGAGCATGGCAGAGGAATGTTCTAGGGTGAGAAGGTCTCAGGGGTAGATGGATATTTCAGGATGAGGAGGCCCTGAGTGCTGAGGGAAGTCCCAGGGGAAGATTGCAGCTGAGCCATCCATGGTGCTTGCTGAGGTCTGGAAAGTCAGAAGCTCAGTCACCAGAGGCTGAGTGAGTAGTTGTTAGCTATATTGGAGTGGGAATTTCTTTAGGGTTTGTGTTGAACCAAACCTCTGCTTGAAACCCCTGCCAACTCTCCAATTCTGGGATTCTGTGATCCTTTGTTTCCAGTTCTTTGTTACTGCAAAAACATTGCTATAAATATATTAGTGTGTTTGTATATTTATCTGTATATGTATGACAGTACTTTGCACGTAGAATACTTGTCAGATTTGGCCAGTATATTGATTTGTTTTGCTAAACTTTTTTTCCTCTTTCTTTTTCTCTTTGTTACAAGGGATGATTCTCTGGAAAGAGGAGGGGGAAATACATTGGGTAATATAGGTGATGATAAAACAAAAGATATATCTCTCCCAGATATAGTCATAAAATGTATTGAATCTCTTCAGGACCTGCTGAAAGGGTCACAGGGACTCCCATGAGTCTATGGAACATACTTTGAGAACTGCTGCATTAACTCATGGGCTAGACATTCAGAGGAAATGAAGGATATATATATACACACACACACATATATGTGTGTGTATATATGTATACACATACATACATATATACATATATGTCATTTTTACTCATGTCCAACTCTTTGTGACCCCATTTTGGAGTTTTCTTGCAAAGAAACTATACTGTTTTGACATTTCCTTCTCCAGCTCATTTTACAGATGAGGAAACTTAGTCAAACAGGGTTAAGTGACTTGCCCAGGGTCACACAGCTAGTAAGTGTCTGAGACTGGATTTGAACTTAGAAAGGTGAGTCTTTCTGACTCCAGGACCAATACTCTATCCACTGTACCCCCTAGTTACCTGCCTACCTCTCTCTCTCTCTCACTCTCTCTCTCTCCCCCTCCCTTCCTCCTTCCCTCTCTCCCTCTCTCTCTCTTTCCTTCTCTCCCTCTTCTTCTCTCCCTCCCTATCTCCCTCTCCCTCTCTCTCTTCCTTTCATGTTCTTTCTCACATGCATGTGTATACACACACCCTTCCTTGGCATATATGCCTAACAATAGGATATAATTCCAAATTGCTTTCTAAAATGCTTGCATCAATTAATTCACAGTTACATCAACAGAATCACATATTGTTTTGCATTATAACAGCTTCATTTATCTGTACCTTGTTTTCCAGTCAGACCATAACCTCCCTGAGGGCAGGGACTGCCTATGCTTCTAACACAGTGCTGGACCCTCAGTCCAGTATGTGTTGTGTACCTTGTGTACTTATTTTGTCATACTGGCTATAGCTGATAGTCTACATGTAAAGGGTGTATTTGAATGTGTCCTAGTTCCTTTTGTTACCCAGTGGGATGTCTTGCCAGCTGTCTATAGGAAACTCTGCCCAGTGGTCCGGCATTGTAGGAATCTGTCCAGCCTGCTTCATGGAATTTGTCAGGCCAGCCCTGGTTATAAGGATAAAGTAATGCTAGAGATGAAAGTTTTGTGCCCCTCGCCTTCATTCCTCACCTTTCCTTCTGCTCCTTATAGGCTTATTGGCCAGGGACTGAGTCTCATTATGGAGAAAAGCTGCTCTCTCTCTCTCTCTCTCTCTCTCTCTCTCTCTCTCTCTCTCTCTCTGTCGTCTGTCCTCACCTAGGTCTACAGCCAAGTACATCAGGCCCCAGTTCAGAAAAAACCTTCTGGCTCCCTTCACAAAACATTAGCCAGATGGTCACAGAATAATCAGTCTTGGATCAGCAAAACTGGTTGGTTCTAGTCTGTCCACTTTGTATAGACCCAGTTTGTTTGGGCCTGGGAAAAGGCCAACAATTTTCCCTTATCTGGTATTAGCTCACACGTGTCTTTCCTTTTCCTACAGATACCAATGTGATACGATATATCCAACTGACAGAGATGAAACTCAGCAGATGTTCCCAGAGAGAGAAAGAAGCCTTGTAACCAGGAAGCTTCCTTCAGAGATGGACCCATGGTGGACATTGTGCTTCCAGGGGCCCAGCAGGTGGATTTCCCCTTCCTGGGTTTGGTCCCTTTCCTGCCCCTCTCCCATCTTCCTTCGAAAGCCCCCTTAACTCTTTGTTTACTCCCAGTATGAAGAGAAAGAGAGAGAGCAAGAGAAGCCAGCTTAGAACCTGGCCAGTTGCCAGAAAATGGTCAAAGTTCCCTTGATGAGAAGAAGCCTGAAGAGGAGATTTGTGTCAGAGTTGGAAAAGGCTTAGCTGGTGGTTTCCACTGCCGGGATCATGCCTGGAAGGCAATTCATCTTAAAGTCTTGAGTCTTCACCTTGAGTCTGTAAGCTTGTCCCTTCTAATCACCTCCCTGATGGACTAAGCCATCCCAACCCAGTCCTAACAGACACATCTGGAAGATGGCCACAGAAAGAGCTGGTGACCCCAACCCCCTCCTAGAGGGACATAGATGTGCACATCAACTTCCCTCCCCCTCCCACACTCCTATTCTTGGCTCCTGTTGCATTCTGTGTGCCCCCAATCCCAAATCTCCATTTGGGGTTCTAGGACTCGGTTACAAGCTCATCCACCACTGAAGCCCCTACTAAATGCCTTCTCAGTGAACTTACATCCTATTTCCACATAGTAACTTTGATGGCAGACAGGAGCAGGTATGGGAAGATCAGGGCAAGGGAAACGGTGAGGGAAGGGGGACAGTGATGCAAAAGCTGAAAAGGCTTTGTATAAATCAGGGGATAAAACTATGGACTAATGAAGTGCAAATAAAAATAAATTAATAGGTGATAATTCCTGTCATTTCTTTTTGAAATAGCCCCCCTAACCGTTTTCCCACCCCTCACCCCATACGTGGAGTGAAGGATGTACTCACATAGCATTGGATGACCTTCAGAGCAGCTGACCATTTGCTTAGTGCCCTGTGCAGTTGCTTGTACTCTGTACTGTGTGTCCTCTGCAGAGGTGTCTACCCCCAGCATGTATACTCCCAATCCAATCCAACAAGCATTTATGTAAAGTACCTCCTGTGTTCTAGGACTGTTTTAGGTGCTGGAGACACAAAGACAAAATAAAAATAGTCCCTGCCCTCAAGGAGCTTGCATTCTTCCCTGCCTTAACCTAAGTATAACCTAGTCAAGGTTGGGTAGATAGACTTCAGTGGAGCGATGAGTCCATTTTTGGATAGCTATAATTGTTAGGAAATTTTCTCTTATTTTGAGACAAAAATCTGTCTCCTTCCTACTTCTGTCCATGGGGCTTGATCATAGGCCAAATAAAGCAAATTGAATCTCTCTCTCATATAATAACCCTTCAATGTCTACCACCAAGTTGTGTCTTCTCTAGGCTAAATATCCCCTGGCAGGGTTTCTAAGTATCCTCATCATCCTGGTCACCCTCCTCAAAGCATTTTACACTTTGACCGTGCTTTCCTTAAACTAGGGTGTTCAGAGCTGGGCTCACTGTTCCAGATGTGTTCTGAACAGGACTCAACACAACGTCGTTCTCCCTTCTTACATCTGGACATCACACCCTCGGATTGTGTTAGCTTTTCTGGCAGCCAAGCACACTGCTGACTTCTCCATCACTCGTAGTCTACTAAAAATTGCCAGGTCTTTGTCACATGGATTGCTTTCTGGGCTTATCTTCCTCACCTTGTAGTTGCACAGTTGGTTTTTCTGAGCCCAATGTCAGGACATTACGCTTACCCTTATTAAATTACATCTTAGCTTCAGCCCAACATTCTATCCAGCTGAAATCTCTTTGGATCCCACATCTTAGATTCCATTGTATTATTGATCCTGCCCATCTCAAGGACAACCATTTCATAAAACCTGCTATATGATATGTTTTTCCATTGACACTGATATCAGTTCTGTCTTTCCTAATCATCTTTATAGCCCACCGATTCTCAAACATTTTGGCCTCAGGACACCTTTACCTTCTTAAAAATTATTGAAGACCCCAAAGAGCTTTTGTTTATGTGGGTTATAGCTATCATAATTTACTGTATTAGAAGAGTACAAATAGATAAAATTTTAAAATATTTATTCATTAAAAATAGTAATAAACCCATTATACAGTAACATAAATGACAGATTTTTATGAAAAATACTATTTTCCAAAACAAAAAAAAATTAACTGAGAAGAGTGGCATTGTATTACATGTTTTTACAAATCTCTTTAATGTCTAACTTAATAGAAAACTACTAGGTTTTCACATCGGCTTTTGCATTCAATCTATTGTGATAGGTTGTTTTGGTTGAGGTTTATGAAGGAAATCTGGCCTCACACAGATATGTAGTTGGAAAAGGAAGGAGTATTTTAGTAGGCAAATAACATTTTAGTATTAGTATGAAAGTAATTTTGCCCTCAAGGAAGTCCTGAAAGGATCATGGGGCCCCTCATGGGTCCATGGAACATACTTTGAGAACCATTACGTTAAGCCATGATCAAGCCAAACAAAGGCATGGAGATTGAGTCTCATCTTTGATTCTCCTTAGCTCAAGCTTAACAGTAGTTCATGGTTATACTGCACTTTACAGTTTACAAAGCACTTTCCTCACAAAGATCCTGTAAGATAGGTAGTGCAAGGACTGTTATCTCTGTTTGACAGATGAGAAAATTGGGAATCATCAAGATGAAATATCTGTGAGGTAAATCAATCAGTAAGCATTTGCTAAGTGCTGTTGGGGATACAGAGACACTTATAAAACTTTTCCCATCCTCAAATGCAAGGAAATTTTGGTAGGGTAGGTCCTAGCAGTAGAGGGAATCTGGAAAGATCACATGTAGGAGGAGGGGGTACTTGGGCTGAGCTTTGAAGAAGGCTAGGATTCTAAGAGGGGTGGCTGAGTAGTGCAGTGGATAGAGTGACAACCCCAGAGTCAAGAAGGCTCATCTTCCTGAGTTCAAATTTGGCCTCAGACACTTACTAGCTGTGTGACCCTGGGCAAATTACTTAACTCTTTTTGCCTTAGTTTCCTCATCTGTAAAATGAGCTGGACAAGGAAATGGCAGACCGTTCCATTATCTTTGCCAAGAAAACCCCAAAACGTGGTCACGAAGAGTCTGATATGACCTAACAACAACAACAGCAGCAATAGAAAAGGATTCTAAGAGATGGGGTGGGGGAAGGTCACATAACTAAGAAGTGTCACAGCCAGCTTTTTCTTTGGTTCCTAAGCACTTAGCCAGGAAGTACTTAATAAATGGCTGTTGACTGATTCATTGCCTTCTGATTTGAGGTGCAGCCTCTTTCCATCACACCCCACTGCTTCTTCTTCCCACTCGCTATCCTGGTGGACAGCCTCAAAAAGAAAGGACCCAGTTCAAAGCAAAGTCCCAAGATATTAGCCCTCTGCTAAAAGAGGGAGTGGTCTGCTGTCATTTCTATTCTCCATCTGCACAAAGGATAGAACCATGGTCTCTAAGCAAATGCCTGGGTTGCTCTCAGGGGTGAGCATTCACTATACCTGGCCCACTAGTTCTAAGACCACCACATATCACTGGAAAAAATCTGCCAAAATCCATATGATGTCCTCAATTGCATACCCCCCCCTTCTCTATTAAGTATATTAGGACCTATGTGTGAATCACCTGAAGAGAACTAAGTCAGGTAGAAAGTTCCAGCCCATTTTCTGGGCATGTTGAAAAGTCATAAAAATGGAAGTGACCTCAAAGATCATCTTAACCCAGTTGCTTCATTTCACAAGGGAAACTCAGAGAGGGTGGACTTGTCTAAGGTCACAGCTAGCTCAGCGCAAAACCTAATTAGAGCCCAGTTCTCCTGACTTCTTTCTGCTGATACTTCTTCCTATCACTAAATGCTCATTCAGAACTTGATTAGTTGAAGATGTGTGGCACAGGAACACAGTCAAGTCCTGAATGAGTGCTTGCTGATAACAAAAAAAAGTATCCAGCATGATCCCAGGTTTTGTAGTATCATAGACTTGGAGTTGGAAGACACTTGGATTAGTTGATCTAACCTAACACCTTTATTTAAGAGATGAGGACACCAAGGCCCAGATAGTCTGAGTGATTTGTCCAAGGACACACAGGCAGTAAATGGCAGAGACAGGAATCTAAATCCATGTTTCTCTCATCCAGCACTCTTAGTGTGTGAAGTGACTGTTGACAATCAGTTATTTTTACCACACCGTACTTAGGTACAGGAGAGATTCAGGAGTCATGAATCCCATGGGCCAGTGGGATTACCAAGCTTTGCAACCAATCCAGGCAATTTAATGCAGTGGTAAGAATGTAGGATTTGGAGTCTGGAGACAGCTGGACTTAAATCACATTATAGCTCAAAGCTATATCTAAGGCAAGGTGACTGGGACTTTTTCCAGTGGGCTAAAATTTAAAGAGTGCAAATAACATGGTCCCAGAGGCATGCTTCTTGTTCCCTTGTGGAAGCTGTACCCCCAGTGAGCTCTCCCCATCTCCACTTGCCCCAGACACAGAAACTAGTTAAGAATCCTGAAACTCACTAGCTGTGTGACCATGCGTAAATCATTCAACTTCTCCGAACCTCAGTTTCTTCGTTTGAAAAATAGGGATAATAATACCTACAGTACTTAACTCATGAGGTTGCTGTGAGAATCCACTGAGATAACATATATGTAAAAAGTGCTTTGCAAATCTTAAAGCTTTACATAAATGCCAGCTATCATTATTAATATTATTACTACTAATAAGAATTTCATTCTCATCTTTTTGGATACAGTTCAGAGAGAAAGGGTCCTGGGACAAGCCACTAGCCTGCTACTGTATTTTTAAATCTAATGTTTTGTGAAATCTTGCACAGGTGGATAAAATATTTGTTCTTTGTAATTGAATAAAAATATTGGAAGGTAAGCTTATCTTCTATGGGCTCGCTGAAAGTGTCTTTGAGACAACTCCAGTAGCAGACAAGATGAAGGCTATATACCCCATTCCGTTCCCACATGAATTTTATTTCATCTGCTGCATTTCTAAATTTTGAAAGCATGTTGTTCCATGTAGATTGAAGATTAGGATATTTATGTTTAAAAATTGGTCTAAAGTTTTTATGGATCGCTGTTATGTCCGTGTGATTGTGGGCCACAGTTCGGTCTGTGAAAATGGTATGTCCAATAGGTTATTGGCTTAGATTGCCAAGATCTTTTTTTTTTGGTGCGGGGAGGGGGGAGGAAGGGGTGCGGGTCCTGTATTTATAGTATGAGAATTTGTCATCTACCAAGCTACAAAAGACTGAGCAAGCTTCTGATGCATAATTCTAGCCACCAGATCAAGCCTTGCTAAGTATTCAGTAGGTGCTACATTTTTACAGTCTATATAGTTGTGTGGCATAGTTTCTATGCCATTTCCCTGTATCATTTACACTGATCACTGAGTCTGAGCTTCTGTAGAATAACCATTCTGTAATTTCTGGTGGCAATGTTCTTTTTCTGAATTGCTATCTTAAACCCCTTCATTGCCCCACCCCACCCCCTAAATATCTACACAACAACCATTTATTTAATGCTTCCTTGGTGACATTGGAATTGACACGTCATCCATGAAGCACTTTCTTATTCCATTTTAGATATTAGCTGTTTCATAGACTCCATCTGATGGTAAATCACTTTAAATTACATTCAACAGATCCAATAGCATTTACCTGTTATCAGCCTTTACTCAGCAAAGTGATGTCTGCTTGTTCTAAAAGTATTTCTGTACGTTTTTGACCTGTAAATTATGTGCTCTAAAAATATCTATCAACAAAAGGCAGTATAAATGTTACAGCACTTTCATGTGGTTTGTTCAACAATTACCGAATCACAAATAAGTTTCTTTTTACGATCCTAGGACTTTCTGGCACACATTTTTGCTCAGCCAATATGTTGTTTTCTTATGTGTTTCTAGATTTTTTTTTTTCATGATACTGTAAATGCATTTTATAAAGTACTTAAATGTGTAATTCACTTATATTTGAAGGAGTCATTGGTGTTCTCATCTTCTGGTAATAGATATGTGATGCTTTCTGTTGAGCTGGTAAAGTGCCTTGCTAATAATTCATGCTCTACTATGGGACATCTGAGCCAATAATTATGGATCTTATTGATGATGATGATGGATGATGATGATGACGATGATGTTTTCATCTTTATGTTCAATGAAGTACGGATAGAAACAGTCCTAGAACAAGTCACACTATCTTGCTACTATTGTGCTTTTATGTTTCATGTTCAACCTACTATTGTGCAAGTAGATAAAATGATTGATTTTTTTTGTAATTAAATTAAAGTGTTGAGATGCAAATTCATCTTCTGTAGACTCACTGAAAGCATCTTTGAGACGAGTCCAGTAGAAGATGGAATGATGCTGATGATTTCTCCCTCTCTTCTTGCCTTCCTCCCTTCTCTCCTCCTTCCCTTCTCTCCTCCTTCCCTTCTCTCTACCACTTCCCTTTTTTTGTTAGTCCCACTTTCCCAGCCACAAAAAAATCTTGGGATCCAAGTAGTAATTGTTCCTTTGGGGGAAGGGGAATGTGAAGTGGGGGGAAGGGGAGGATGGAGCACAAAGAATGAGGGCTAAGTCATATGGGCTTGCATATTCAGTGCCCCAAATCCATTTAAAGCTACTCTGCGTCACCAAAATAAGGTGATAATATGAAGTTTTTAATCATTTTTGATTGTGGAAGAAAGGCAGCAATCTTAGAATCCCCAGAGATGCTGGCTCCTGGCCCAAGGTGAATAGAAGAGGAGGGAAGGAAGGAGGTTATAATTGAGTCAGAGAGATATTAATGATATTTTGTGCATGTTATTACTTTTAAATAAGACATTAGAGTTCTCAGTGTTAGAAAAATCTGAAACAAAAGTCTACTACAGGAGTGAGAGAAGGAAAGCCTTTATTACGCTTCTCATGAGAAGCGGGCACACTTCACCCTAATGGCACTTGCGCACTGGTACAGAGGTAGAATCAACTTCGAAATGGTTAGTATAATCCATACTCCTCCCATCTGAGCCTGGGATTGGACCAGCTCATCTGAGTTACACTCTTCCTGAACCACCCATCCCATGTTCCTCCATGTTCTGTTAACTCCTCCCAGTTCATGCATCCCATGTTCAAAAATGGTGGCTATCTCCGCCCTCAGGGTGTGTCAGTTAATATTCAGTAAGCTTATTAAGCAAGCACAGTGGAGAAAAGCCTTTGCCCCATCCTTGACCCCAACAGGTTGCAACTGGTTTAGCCTCCAAGGCACTTTCTTAGGGAACTAGTTGTTTGCAGAATGTTTGGGGCACTTTCTGATTGGTTGAGGGACTATCCACAAGATCATGGAAGTCCTCAGAATTCCCTTGTTCTGTTGTAGAAGTCTAACTTCTAATCCTTTCCCACATCAAGGGACTTTCACACACATTTATATGATTTTCAAAGCAACTTGTGAGGTAGGAGAAGCAGGATTAACTCCATTTTATAGACAAGTTGTGAGCAGGCTGCAAGGTAGAACCAATGAGTGACTTTGAAAAACAGGACTAATATATGTCATTAGGGAATGTAGGATAAAAAAGGAAGATGTGCTGGTCACTTGGTGAGGATAAGGTACAATAATTGGACAGACCATGTGCTCCACTCCACCTGATGTCAAAAGAAAACAAGGAAGTCCTCTGAGCATTTTAGGTGGATCCACTGTGGAGAATTTATGGCAGAATGTGGTTAATAATAACCCAGGATGGATAGATATGGATGGGTTTCAACCTATATGGGAATTGGACCAATTACCCAAATTGCTAAGACCACGGATCATTTGTGTCTTTGAGTACTTACAAACAAGACTTGGCCAAGTGATGACATTTAGTCACCTATTACAAAGGATGGAGCTGAAACAAGAGCTCGAGTCCTTTAATTCAAGGCTCAGTGCTCCTCCCAAGTCCCATATCTCACAGCCTCTCAAATGGCTCCAAA